TCGGCTTGTCATCGGGGTTGTGCATGATGTGAATATTTTGTGTGGTGAAGATGGAGCATAGCCAGACTATATGATTTTGTAGGAATAACTTTCTTTGGCCTTGTTATTTTGAAAAGACATGATTGCTTTATTAGTGGGCTTGAAGTATTATTGTTTTTATGTCAAATGATAGACTATTGCTTTGAATCACTCGTGTCTTAATATTCATGCCATGATTAGATTACATGATCAAGATTATGCTAGGTAGCATTCCACATCAAAAATTATCTTTTTTATCATTTACCTACTCGAGGACGAGCAGGAATTAAGCTTGGGGATGCTGATACATCTCCTTCGTATCTATAATTTTTGATTGTACCATGCCAATATTCTACAACTTTCATATACTTTTGACAACTTTTTATACTATTTTTGAGACTAACATATTGATCCAGTGCCCAGTGCCAGTTCCTGTTTGTTGCATGTTTTTTGTTTCGCAGAATATCCATATCAAACGGAGTCCAAACGGGATAAAAACTGACAGAGATTTTTTTGGAATATATATGATTTTTGGGAAGAAAAATCCATGCAAGACGATGCCCGAGGGGGCCACGAGGCAGGGGGCGCGCCCCTGACCCTCGTGGCCACCCCGTAAGGCGTTTGATGCCCTTCTTTCGCCGCAAGAAAGCTAATATCCGGATAGAGATCGTGTTAAAATTTCAGCCCAATCGGAGTTACGGATCTCTGGGAATATATAAAACGGTGAAGGGGTAGAATCTGGGAACGCAGAAACAGAGGGAGACAGAGAGACAGATCCAATCTCGGAGGGGCTCTCGCCCATCCCATGCCATGGAGGCCAAGGACCAGAGGGGAAACCCTTCTCCCATCTAGGGAGGAGGTCAAGGAAGAAGAAGACGAAGGGCCCCCATCTCTCCTTCTCTTCCGGTGGCGCCGGAACGCTGCCGTGGCCATCATCATCATCACCGCGATCTACTCCAACACATCCGCCATCTTCACCAACATCCCCATCACCTTTCCCCCTCTATCTACAGCGGTCCACTCTCGCGCAACCCGCTGTACCCTCTACTTGAACATGGTGCTTTATGTTTTATATTATTATCCAATGATGTGTTGCCATCCTATGATGTGTGAGTAGATTTTCGTTGTCCTATCGGTGGTTGATGAATTGCTATAATTGATTTAATTTGCTTATGGTTATGTTGCTGTCCTTTGGTGCCCATCATATGAGTGCGCACGTGGATCACACCATAGGGTTAGTTGTATGATTGATAGGACTATGTATTGGAGCGCAAGAGTGACAGAAACTTCAGCCTAGCATAGAAATTGATGCATACGGGATTGAAGGGGGGCCAATATATCTTAATGCTATGGTTGGGTTTTACCTTAATGAACGTTAGTAGTTGCGGATGCTTGCTAATAGTTCCAATCATAAGTGCATAGAATTGCAAGTCAGGGATGACATGCTAGCAGTGGTCTCTCCCACGTAAAACTTGCTATCGGTCTAGTAAAGTAGTCAATTGCTTAGGGGCAATTTCACAACTCCTACCACCACTTTTCCACACTCGCTATATTTACTTTATTGCTTCTTTACTTACAATAGCCCCTACCTTTTATTTACTTGCTCTTTATTATCTTACAAACCTATCCAACAACACCTGCAAAGTACTTCTAGTTTCATACTTGTTCTAGGTAAAGCGAACATCAAGCGTGCGTAGAATTGTATCAGTGGTCGATAGAACTTGAGGGAATATTTGTTCTGCCTTTAGCTCCTCGTTGGGTTCGACACTCTTACTTATCAAAAACTGTTGAGATCCCCTATACTTGTGGGTTATCATATAACTATTAGGTATAACCCGCCCAGGAGGGGCCGGGTCATCCCTATGACGATTCATCACAATGAAGCCCAAGATCATACGGTGGTTCATAGATAGGCTTGGTAGAGGGCCTAGACCCGAAGGCGGCTTAAGGCCCATGGATATAAACCGCCGTGTATGTAAACTTGTATTGTAAGGCACGTAAGAAAGGTCAGCGAGCCGGATACGTTGTATAAGCAGGCCGGGACTCTGTAGCCTGCAGGGCGTCAACCCGTGTATATAAGGGGACGACCTAGCGGCGGCTTAGGACAAGAAACAACAGACCGAGAGCCGGGTCAAGCGTATTCGCTCCTTGCTCATCGAAACCCTAGCAATACCATCTACAAACTGGACTAGGCTTTTACCTTCATCTTAAGGGGCCGAACCAGTATAAACTCCTCGTGTCCTTTGTCCCGATTAACCCCTTTAAGCTAACCTCATCGCGATGGCTCCACGACTAAGTCCTCACACTAGGACATATGCCGTGACAATTCCACGACAGTACCCCCGGTGTATATACAAGCCGTAGGGTTTAGTCAGAGGCACTGTTACCAGCCTTAGGGTTTAGAACACAATCATACAATCTCGAGGTAGATCATCTTGTACTATGTACTCCATCACATCAATATAATCAAAGCAGGACGTAGGGTTTTACCTCTTCGAGAGGGCCCGAACCTAGGTAAACACTGTCTCCCTTCGTCCCCTGTTACCATTGTTCCTAGACCTACAACTCGGGACACCCTACCCGAGATCCGTCGTTTTTAGCACCGACATGTATTGGTAGAGTATAGGGGTGTACAATGGTGATGACCGATTGAGAGTAATCTATGGTTCTCATCGTTATTGACTAGCCTAACCCCGACTTACATGGATACATGAGTCTAGGGTTTACATGATCATAGTCAGTTAGGGTTATGGAGGAGACATCCTGGACGTCGGTTTCCTTATCATATGCTCCAAGTTTTCCGAGCCCTTCTCTCTATTAGGCCCATAGGCCGAGATGACGGCCCATGGCATAAAACGACCTAAGGGGCCTCGGGACAGCCTACTTAAGCCGACTCTAGGTATGGCGAGGCACCCTTGGGTCATAACACCATTAACATGCGCCTGAATGATTCACCAAAATCAGGTCCGCGGCCTTGCAGGAGCGCATATTCCTTTAGTCATTTTCTTTCTTGATTTTTTGACCTGAAATTTTACGAGTTAGAAACCTAGTCAATTTAGATCATGATCACAACACGAGACTATTCGTTTCTCCTACTTACATGACCTATCAACCAACACCAAAGATGCACCAAATCGAGTCAGGGTTTCTCCTTGCGCCGTCATCGTAATCTACTCCATCCCGAACGCCGGTGTGCACCGGCGAGCAGGACATCAGGTCTCCAAAATCTACCACCTTCTAATCCTTCATCGGGAAAGTGCGATTTAGGTTTTCAAGAAGCAGTACACGCGACTTCTCAGGTTCGTCACCGCGGGTCATCTTCCTTTAAAGTCACGTAGAGCTGCATCCCGCTGTCCCCGTTGCCGTCTGTTTCGACCGGTCTTCGCCAACATTGTTGTGAACGACATCGCATGTGCAGCAAAGAGAATTACTTCATCTATCTGTTTTCTATATGAAAATGTTTTGTGTAAAATTCATCAAACTTCTGCTTTTCAAAATTTTGTCATGCCATACAAAAGCTTCAGCTAGCCCCAGTAATAAAACAAAAAAGCTGAGGTACCTCGCTGGAAATGTCCAAACAGAACCACCGAGAAACCGCCGTTTCTTTGGCCCCATCAAACCGCTATAAATTCCTTCAAAGGGGAAAAAAACCTAGAAATTTCGCCGAGAGAGTGGAAGCCCCGGTGGCGCTCGTCCGTTCCCCCCTTCCTCATTCGGCTTCTCAGCTCGAAAACGCGAGCGCCAAAAATCCCCCGCGCCGCCAAAGCGGCGGTTGGGGTTCCGGCCTCCGCTTCCCCCGCCGCCCCGCCCCACGGTAGCCCCGCCGTCGCGCGCAGATCCCCGAGGACCCCCAGCCTCGCCGCCGGCCGTGTCGTATCGGCGGACTCCCTGGTGAGGCCCCGGAATGCTTGCCCTCGTCGTTTTATGACGCCGGTCGACGCAGGACCGTCGGTTCGGGCTGATCTCTCCGTGTTTTTGATGGGTTATTAGTGGGTTCTGTTATGCGCGAGGATGATTTCTAGGCGGCGGCCGGTGGGATGTGGCATGCCCGGTCTTTGACGGCCTAGGGTTTGGGGGCGGCCCTTCGGGGTATCCAGTGATGGTGTGGGGGGTAAGAGCGAGTTTTGGTGGGTACGGAATGGTGGTTTCGCTAGGCGGTCGGGATGGGGAGGCTTGGTCGCGCCATTAATCGCCCCATTAATTGGCGATCTGTTGGTGGGTGATTGGTGTTGATTTTTTTTCATGGTGTTTCTTGGTTCTTGGATTCTGCGAATCGGAGTGGCATCTTCATGCCATTTGTTGAAAGCGGCATGACGCATTTCCATGCCGTAAATCTGAAGTGCATTTTGTTGATGTTATAAAAAATGGTAGAACTTCTTGGTTGCTGGATTTCAAGTGTTGCACTTGGGTCATGTTATAGATCTACGGCTGCAGTGAACGAATATGAGCTGGTTACTGTATTTTCTAGCGAGGATTAGCGTGCACTGTACAGAATGTATTTTGAATCTTTGTACAAAAAGGTTTAACACAAGGACATCGTGTACGGCTGCATTGAGCGGATATGAGCCGATTACTGTATTTTTCTAGTGAAGATTAGCTTTTACAGAATGTATTTTTAATCTTTACATAGGAGATTAGCTTGTACATGATGTATTCTAAATCTTTATGTAAAAGATTAACACACGACATTGTGTGATTAGTGCAGAAGTTATAGGCTGGAGTTGAAGCAATGTTATTCTTCCATTTGTTGTTCCATGACTTTCATGCATTTTTTTTACAAAAGTTACTGTACCCATGAACCAATGCTAGTATCAATTAACACTACTGTACATTACCTGCTCCTTGTCTTGTGCTTCATATATGCGGTGCATGGCTCTTGATGGCTTAGAGTTTCTCCTGAAGGAGAATGCAGTAACTGTTGTTAAATTTTGCAGGTGTGGAACGAATTGTTTGTTTTGTAGAGGTTGTATTACAAGGACCAAATGCCTCTCTTCAAGAGGACACCTTTCTTCTTACTGGACCCACCAAAGGACTTGGATCCCAAGGAGAAGGTGTTCCAAGTTCGATTTACTAAGGAGATATTTCGAGATTACCAGTATCCTCTTACATATAACTGTTCACAATTAATTGATCTGTACCTGATATAAATCATAATTTCCAAACAAAATATGACATTTTGCAGCTTTTATGTTTGCAATAGACTATGTTGCAGCAACAGTGTGCATCCTTGACTATTGATTAGGGAGTACCTGAATAGGTTGAACCTTTACCGTAAAAGGGTTTGGACATGTAAGGTGTCTGGAAAATCTAATTTAACCTATGAGGAAGCTTTGGTCTCAGAGCAGCGGGCTGCAGAGAAGGCTCAACAGTTGCCAAGAGAGCTTATGTCTCCTGTTCTCCAGATGATCCAATACAGTAGGGCCAAGCTTTTCCTGATTATGACATTATCGGCACTTGTCATGATTATAATGTTTCAGTCTCGCTATAATCCTTATTTCTTTATGATGCACATTGTTGGCCTTTGAAAAAGAAACGGTATAGCATTTTGTTATGTGTATATCTAGACTAAGTTACATTTAGGAAATGTTTTTTTAAAGGCCATTGAGCTAATGCTGTTTGTTTGACATTGATTATCTGTGGCATCATTGCATGTTTAGAATTTTATGCTGGTAAGGAGTTTCGCGTGTTTGAGATTTTCTGTTTATATTCACTGACAAGTCCCACTTGTTTTCATCAGTTTTCTTTTGGATTGTTCAGACATTCTTTCTGGATAAAATTGATGATATGTTCTCCTCCATTGATTCATCACATTTGATTTCTCATTTTATGTGTGCACTGTAATAAATTTCCAATTCAGGGCTGGCAATCTATCCATGCGACTGACAGTCTGGCATATAGGTTTACTGCACATTTAGTTAGCTGTGTCATCTGTATACTGTTAATAATCTGCAGTGAGGCTATTTTTCACGCTGTCGCAAACTATCGTTTATGTCTATGATATTTCCATACGCTACATGTTATTCTATTTAGTGAAGAACGCGGAATATTTCTAGGTGAGAATATTTGTGTTATATTTTTAAGGCCGGATACACTGCATTTGCTTCAGGTACACTTAACTTAACTGACCTTGTCAACAAGATATATGGCAGTCTGCAAGAGAATCTGTTTGAAGGATTAGAATTACATGCTAAAAGAGATGGTTCGGAGGCTGCTTGCAAGATTCTGAAGGTTATAGGTTCAGGTAAAACCACAAGCTATGAGGTGGGCTGGATTGGTCAAGACAATGCAATTACCAGCACTTCAGTTCTCAGAGCCGACGATCTAATTCGCAAGAAAGCACCTTGTGGTCGTAATATGCTCAAGATTTTTGTCAGGGAATCAACATCACAAAACTCTCCATGGATCGTACATATGAATCTTGCAAAGAAATATGGCATACCCACTGAGCCTCCAAAAGACATGATTGTAACCATCTTTTCTTGTTTCCTTTATTCTCTCTCTTATTATTATGATCCTAATACATCATGGCTTACAGAATGGTGAAGGATTGTCCAAAGCAAGGAAAAGACTAGCGAATGGGACTGCAGAAGATGCCAGCAAAAGGTCAAAGAAAGGTGAATTAAGCAGATATTCATGTCATCTCTTTCACTTCGTATTTTACCATGGGTTTCATTTTACTACAGGTTTGACTGGCTTCTTATTGTTCACTTTCCATGTGACTTTCAGATGAGGAGCAAGTAGTACCAGTTAAATACCCAATCGATGATCTTTTAGTAAAGCCGGTGGCAGATGACCCTCTTTTGTCAAAGAGATGCCCAGCATCCACAGATTTCAAAGTCCCTATAAGTTCTGTGGGAGATCTCCTGATGGTCTGGGATTTCTGCATGTCTTTTGGGAGGCTTTTATGCTTGTCGCCGTTTTCCTTGTCAGATCTGGAGAATGCAATTTGCCACAAAGAAACCAATCTTGTTCTTCTTGTGGAAATACACACTGCACTTCTCAATTTGCTTATTAATGATGAAGGCGAATATTTTGAGTTTATCCAGAACAAGAACAGAAAATCAAAGGTGATTTCTTCTTATTATTATTCAAAATTTAAGTCTGGGCGAACTTGTACCATATTCTGTTCCCTGAAACATGAATCATATTGTATGTAGGTATCTCTAGTCACCTGGAAGGAGTATCTATGTGATTTCATGGAAATGACAAGTATCTCCAGTAACATATCAACAGTACGGAGGGGTCACTATGGTCTTGTTCCCACTAGCCTGAAACTTGAAATCCTACGGGAATTGGTAGATGAAGCCATTGCAACTATTGCTGTAAAAGAGAAATTAGATGAACGCATTGATCAGCAACATGCACTTGTAGCAGAAAAAAGAGAGATTGCTAGAAAGAGTAAGGAAGAGCAGAAGCTGATCATGGAAGTGGCAACAGAAAAGGAAATGAATCAGGCAAATGCTGTACAGGATGGCAACGAGAATGTTAATAGCCAGCTTGTGGCAAAAGAAGGGAACGAGAGGAAAAACGCTCCCACCAGCAAAATGGGAGATGCGAAATTGCATCTGGTGAGAACCTATATCAGTATATCTTTTAAGTTTAATCCATGTAACAGAAAAGGAAATGAATCAGACAAATGCTGTACAGGTCGGCAACGGGAATGTTAATAGCCAGCTTGTGGCAAAAGAAGGGAAGGAGAGGAAAAACGCTCCCGCCAGCAAAATGGGAGATGTGAAATTGCATCTGGTGAGAACCTACCTATATATCAGTATATCTTTTAAGTTTAATCCATGTAACCTTTTATGCACACATGTTAATTCTTACATATGTACATGCATGTCTCTGCTGAAACTGTTCATGAAAGTGCTTCTCTCTGCTTATAGGGGAGGCATCTGGAGAAAGAACTACTGGACCAATCAGTACGAACTAGTCCTCTTGGAAAAGACAGATACTATAACAGGTATTGGTTTTTTAGGCGTGAAGGAAGACTTTTTGTTGAAAGTGCAGATTCCAAAGAGTGGGGGTACTATAGCACCAAGGAAGAGGTGATTGTTTGCTACTGTATAAATTTCTTTGCTTCCTTTTCTATGTACAACAATCTATGTTAACTCTGCAATTAACAGCTTGATGCGCTCATTGGGTCTTTAAACATTAAAGGCATAAGGGAGAGAGCACTCAAACAACAGCTTGACAAGTTCTACAACAAGATAAGGTATGGAACTGAAAGTCTTCTATTATTATATTCTTTAATTTATCTCGTACTATTGGACTGTTTTTGTGGTGTGGTGATTGCCTTCTGTTGATTCTTAGAATAGAGATGTAGGAGTAGTTGACACTAGGAAGTGCAGATCATCACATTTTATATCCAATATCTTGAATCTATCCTAGTTTCTGTTCTGTGCATTTTACGATCTTGTCCTCTGTCAACCTTGCTTTAATGAACATTGCACTTCATAGCATTAGATTGGTCTAACCAATGTGAATGATAGTGCTTTATTGTTTAGCGCAATTTTATTCCTTTGCGATGATATTTGGCTGTATTATAGAAGGGGGTGTCATAAACCACTAATTTTGTATTCTGGATCTGGAAGAACTTGGCACCAAATTTTGTGACATCGCTGAAAACTGGTCAGGCCATGCTGACCTATTTTTTGTGAAAGGGCTGGTTCAGGGCCTAAATGATGCCCTTTGATTCCTTTGAAATAGATATCTCATTACATACTTCCTCCGTCCGGAATTAGTTGTCGCCCAAATGGATGTATCTACACATATCCGGGTGGAGTAGAAATTATCCAAAGTTTCCAATGCCAAACCAAGGAAATATCAAAAAAGAAAAATTAGTGCCCAGCGTTCTTCACTGAAATGAAATGATTTTTTTTTCTGTCCATGCAAAACTGTTTTCCAGACCGCAACTCATTGTTGTTTATTTCACTTGCGCATGTTTTTCTGTCTATATGAATAAGTATTCTTTTGCGTTGCCCTTGTACCTACTGTTGAGGACAAGAGCTGGCTTTAGGTTCGCAGAAGCAAAACTAACAAGTAGCTTTCCCTTTGTTTGTGAATATAGTAATGCTGTGGAGAAGAGATTGAAGGAGGTGACACATCAGTTGTTAGTTGAAGAGGCTGTGTTGCGGCGTTCATCTCGTGTACATGCTCATCCAAAGGACAGCCCTTCTACGTCATTCCTCGAGTATGTCAACACATGGAAGCCTGTTCAAAAGAGAAACAGATCGAAAGATGACCGAGCTACTTAGTTGATAGATGGATAGGCTACTTTTTGTATGGCCTATATGTTGTCTCAACTCTGAACCGTAGTAGGGGTTCATTTCTTGCGCCAAATTTTCGGAAACTAAGGCAGTCGAACTGGAGCTGCATGTAATTTGACCCCTGGTAGAGTCGATGTTTTCTTTGTTTCTGTAGTTGGTACTGAAGTGGCGATGCTGAAAACAAATCGTTAGCTAGGAATCTGTTCTATGTCGTGGATTTGACAGCTTCCACGCCCTTTCACAAGTGCAATTATTATCTAGGAGTATGTCTTCAGTTTTCCATGGCTGACTGTTGGATGTGTGCTGGCTCCTAGCTACGCTTGGTGTATCTCCAACTTGGAGGGACTGGGAGGAGTGTACGTAGACGGCCATGCTCAGAGCGTGGGAGGCAGGGCGGTGTACGTAGACGGCCATGCTCAGAGCGTGGGAGGCAGGGCGGCGCAAGTCTATGCCACGGTCATGTTGGGATTTTTTGTCCAAAAGGACCACCTATCAAGTTGAATTGTCAAAAAAGACTACCTCTGAAACACATTGACAAAAAAGACCACCTGCAGCGTGACGGCAGGTGCGCCAGCCGACACGTGGCGCCTGCCGCCATAGACGCCGGCGGCAGCCCCTGCCGCCACGGGCGCAGGCGGCAGCCCGGGCTTAACCGGTTTTCTCGCGTCAACTCCAACGGAACGGACCGCCACGCAGCAAGGCTGCAGCTACTGCTGCTGCGTGGGCGCCGAGACAGACCAGGTGGGCCATGCCGCCACTGCCAAAGGCGGCAGCTAGTGCGTACTGTAGCTAGTCCCTGCGGTAAATGGATAGAGCTATTTTCTTTCGGCCCGCCTTGCGGTAAATGGATATACCAACTTGGAGAAACTAGCACTTGGGTAAATGGATAGAGCTATTTTCTTCCAGCCGGCCGTTCGTATGACTCGAGTCAATCCGCCGTACGTACGCGGCTACACTGAACAATAGCCCAGTTCGTCAGAAAAGAAAAAAAAATAGCCCAGCCCGACGGTATCTCTGCCCTGCGCTTGCGCTAGTGGCGCCGATTAAACAAAGTGGCATGACCACCGCGCACAGGGCGCCGCTGCCACGCAACGGATGCCGCCTCGGGCCGTGGCGGCAGGGCCCATCTAGCCTGTCGCGGTGCGTGCAGCCTCAGTAGCTGCCCGCCTTGCTGCGTGGCGGCATGGCTCACCGCTCCGGTCCGTCCCGTTGCAGCTGGACTCGCGGACGGCAAAACCTGTTAAGCCTAGGCTGCCGCCTGCGCCCGTGGCGGCGGGTGCTGCCGCCGGCGTCTGTGGCGGTAGGTGCCACGTGTCGGCTGGCGCACCTGCCACCACGCTGCAGCTGGTCCTTTTTGTCAATCTGTTTTAAAGGTGGTCTTTTTTGACAATTCAACTATGCAGGTGGTCTTTTTGGATAAAAATTCTCATGCTGGTTGTTGGATCGAGAGTCCCTCCCATGGATATGTGTAAGCAGATCGTTTTTATTTGGGCAACGATAGGATAGGCGCCGGGTGCTTTGGAAGTAGCGAACTGTCAGATCTCGCCTCCTTTTCCTTTTCACACGTACAAGGAAACAAAACACAAAAAGTGCTATCGATCCATGCCTGCGCCGGCCTGGAAGCTCCGATGGTTCCCCAACTCTCGTCGCTCGCCGTCGGCATCGCCGTTCGTCGGTTGCCAGCTTGAAAGCAAAACACATGGTTCCAGCAAATAATTAATATGGTTTCAGCAAACAATAATGTGGTTGCAGCAAGCAAATAATTAATATGGTTCCAGCAAATAATAATATGGTTGCAGCAAAAATGCTATGATTCCAGCGAAATACATTAATATAGTTCCAGCAAAAAACACATATGGTTCCAACAAAAAATTGATATAGTTCCAGCAAAAATGAAAAATGGTTCCTAAGAAGAAGAAAAAGATCAATGCAGCAAAAAAAATCACGTCGTCGCCGCCGCCGTCCCAGCACCATCCTTGCCGATTGCAACAAGTCAAAATGCTGGTTCCAACAAAAAATCTATGCAGCAAAAATCATGGCACCCGCGACCGTGGTCGCCCGACATTGTCCCCTCCTGTTGCAGCAAATCGAGAAAATGGTTCCAGCAAAATTCGAAAGTAGTTTCAACAAAAATTAAAAAAAGAACAACTTACCGCGACGGCAACCGTTGTCGCCGTCCACCACCATCCTCGGCGTTGAAGGAAATCCCGGCGCTGGTTGAAGCAGATCCCCATGCCGGTTCCAGCATCGGGTCCCAGTGCATCCCCTCTGCGCATCGTCGTCAGGCCGAGGACACAAACAGCCTCCGACGTAGGCTGGCCGCTCCACGACCTCGCTCGATGGGCGCAGCTCGTCGTGGTGGCGCTTCATCGACGCAGCTCCTCGCTCGTGTCGGCTTCAGCACACCTCAAGCACAGTCACTGGCGTTGGGATTGTGGGGATTGAGAGACAGAGAGAAGAGCGGCAGAGGAAGAAATTGGATAGATATTCGCGTGGGGGTGAGGATAAGGTTTCTATGATGAGCGGTGGTCAAGCGGCCATGTGGGTCCACGTGTGTGTGCGTTGCGCGATGAGGAGGGACCGGCCCAGTTTCGGCCGGTGCACCGAACCGAACCGTTTCCCTTTTTATTTTTGCGAGATGTGTATGTAGATCGTTGCTTTCCTTCCATTTGGTTGCTGGTGTTCATCAAATAATTTTTGAAATATTTGGGCTTGGCTCAATAGCTAATCTATATCTATATATTTTTCATCATTTTTCATTACTAATAATCGGAGGTAGGTTTCTTCGATTTTTTTTATCCAAGAGATACTAATTTTTTGCGTCCATGCGTCGGAATAACACATTGCTAGAAAACAATTCGTTCGTCAAGTTTTGTACTACGTTGCCTCTCTACGCTTGTCCATCCGGCGGCCCGCATCTAGCAGTTTCTTAGAGAGAAGGGTCACATCCAGCTGTTCGCCCGCGCTCCAAACTTGACCCAAAAAAGCTTGGCCGCTAAGGCTGGTTGTAATGGGAAGTATCATGTAGTAGTATCATGCATATAATACTAGTGTATAATACTATCTTCCTAATGCATAATATTATATATTAGTATCATGTAGTACTTTATTTATTATCATGCATGACACAAAGTAGCATAATATTTATTATGATACGGTATCATGATATGATATTCCACCATCTCTTTCTTCATTTAAGACTATGACACTTCATCAAAATTGCATAGTTGACATGCATGATACTAGCTATGATACTACCATTACAAATAGCCTAAGTCATAAGAATGGGCTTTCATTTGGGTTCAGTCCGTCTGTTGCCCGCACCCTTTTTCAAGATACACAATCCCGCGGCCCTTTTTGGACAAAAAAGAAATAGTTGTGTGGGGACTCGATCTCACGATCAGCCATGTAGAATATAAAAGAGAAGGCTAACTGAACTAGAGATGAGAGGGTTTCATTTGCTTATTAGACAATCCTACCTCGCCTCTTTACACAAATTCCTGCTAATTTAAATGGGTCCGCCTGCAAAAGCAAGAAGCCTCCTCGAGAATCAATAAACAAAGATGTTGATAATTAAATCAGATGAAGAGAATATCTCATTATTAAATGAGATTGTGGGCTAGGAAGGAAAGAAGTTAAGAAAAGGGAAGAAAAAGAAGAAAACTAAATTATGTATCCTCATCACAGGAAACAAAGGAATATTCTGTATCCCCAGCACATGAAACAAAGGAATAAATTCCGCTGTTATGGACATTTTGGTGTTGAATTGGTTCGCAACATGCACTGTGAGGAGCTTGGCAACTGACCAAACTCATTGCCTTGAGACTGATCTTCGTTTCTTATTAATCTCCTGTCATAATTTTTGCTTAGCTATGCTTATTTTATAATAATTTGAGCATGCTAAAATGTGATGACCAAACTCACCACCTTGAGATTTATCACATTTGTCGTAATTAGGTGGACAATTGGCCACCAGCGTTGATGGTACAAAGAGAAAAAGTAGCAAGCTCACTAGGGTTGCATGAGAGTTTATCTTTTCCGTTCCAACGCACGTGCATGTTTGCTAATTCTTAATAAATTTCAAAGGCCCATGTATGACAAGACTGAAGGTGCAAATTTTAGGTTTTGTTTCAGTTTCAGTTACCATTGAAGCTTAGAATCAGCTTTGCCATTGAAATACACTTGGACGTGCTTCAGACATTTGCATTGAAAATGACCTGAATCTACATACAGTTTCACGGGCAAAGTTGATTCCAAATAGATATTTGTTTCAGCTTCTATTTTTTTATGCTGCTGTCTAAAGCTGAAACAAACAGGAGCTTAGTCCCACCTCGAAAATGGAGGTGGTGTGAGACCAACTTGTATCGAGTTTTTCCATTTCACTAAAGGATAAGTATAAGGAGAGAAAGATAACACCACATGCGCTCGCCTCATCGGGCAGCGCTCGGGCAGACAGGCACGTGAATAGTCCACCAAAATCCAATCTTATCTTTTGCTCTCCTGCCTAGTAAGTTTATGAGTCGGAAACCTGGTCAGTTTATGAGTTGTCCGGTTCTACTAGATGTACGACTGATCGGCAACTGCCAAAGGTACACTAAATCGAGTTAGTGTTTTTATCTCCTCTCGCTGCTGACGCCACTAACATAGTCTGCACTGGGAGAGAGCGAATCCGATTTTTGGGAAGCTCTATGAGCGACTGCTTCACCAATACCGTCATCAACAACATCGCCTCTGCAGCAGCCACGACTGCTTTACTTACGACCGATCAATACGTGCTACATATGCTGATCTACTTTTTAATCATATACGTTTGTTACTACATGTGCGATGTTGATGTTCATGTTTTCATCTACTATACTAGAGCTCTGCATGGTACAATGCTAATATTTTTTTCTTTCTAAAACACATTTTTTATAAAACTGATTAGCAAATTGCCTAATTTTCAAGCAACAATTTGAGTTTTCATTGATGTTTTGTTTCCTGAACTT